CCTGCATGTTTTATCATCATTCAGGTAACAGCAGTAATTATGAACTTTTTAATAAAGCAGCTTGAAACTCTATTATGTTTTAGAGATTTCGTTTTTTTTCCAGCTATAAAATCTTTTGGGTAATTTGCAACTAGAAATCTAACAAATCCCTTTCTGGGACACTCTAAATTTGTATTTTTGATCTGTTTTCAACTTCTTCACTTCCATCACTGTTGCCAGTTGCCTTCTGCAGTTGAGCATTCTCTTTTTGGCCCAGTCCCTGAGCTCCACCTTGTTCAGCAAGTTATCTGCTACTCAACAATGAAGCTAAAGAAGTGAAGCTGGTACTTCACTGCCCACTATTAATAGGTTTGTACTACAGGGACTTTTGAAAGGAGATTAAAGACTATTAATCACAGGCGAGTGTCTGTAACTACATTGAATGCACTGGTGAATTCTTTTGTTGCTTAGGATCACATCAGAGTTCTGTTTATAGATTTCAAGCTATTGGTCTTGTCCTTTTTTCTGGTGAAACAACTGAACAGATTTTGTAATCTTCATCAGAAAAGGTTATGTCTTAAACTGAAGCTCTTTTAATCTAGAATTTTTTATATAAAAGAGAGCCTAACCTAAAAGAAGGCTAAGACAGTCCAACTGGTTTCTGCTGCTGTTCCACACCCCAGATGCTGGTTCTGCCTCATCTTTGGCCCCCATTCTGGCACACATTTGTCTCTGTATTGAGCTGTCTCAGTTTGGTAATCCAATGAAAAGCTCAATCAACAAAACAAAAGAAAAAATTTCAACTGATTTGGAAAGCAGAAGCAAGTGTGGGCTGAAACAAGTGTGAGAACCAGGATGGTGGCAAGGTCAGGGAATGGAGAGTGTCAGCCAGTGAGGAGTGAGGCTGCTAAGCCGAAGTAAAGGTAGGGATTAATGCATCTGGCTGTCACATACATCATTGTGATAGATCTTGGAACTACAATGTTTTACTATAACATGTCTAAAGGCCTTACATGATCAGTCCAGAGTGAGCATTGAAGATATTCAAAGCAAACAAAATCTGTTACTTAATTGTGGATGATCAGTCCAGAGTGAGCATTGAAGATATTGAAAGCAAACAAAATCTGTTACTTAATACTACTTACTACTGTTACTACTTACTTTTGGAGTAAATCTTTATTCTACCTAAATGCTATTACTATAAATGATTACTTTAATACAGACAGTATGTCTGTGAAGTGTTCATCTAATATTATTTCTAAAGGCATATTTATTCTCTCTGAGCTCTGGATTGTTACAATGCATTCCTGTACCAGCCACATGAATTTATAATTCCAGCTAGTTTGATTATAATTTGATAAAAATAATTACTATGCTTGCTGTTGAAACAGGAAAAATAATGGTAAGTGTGCATAATGAGCAGATGACTTGCTGTAGGTCTCAAAGACACTAATTAGATCTCATGTGATAATGTGCAGGGGATGAGCAATGTACCATCCCACCTGCTGATTGAAGTAATCTCATGAACTCATCCAGTTATAATAGCGAGCCAAAAAGAGTTAATGAGAAGTTTTGGCTCCTAATTTGTTGTAGGTTGAGCTACAGGTAGAATACTTAGGTGCAATTGTATCTGGGTTTTGAGATTATTATCATCTATTTGGATTCTAACACTGCTGAACTTCAGATGAGGCTTGGGATCTTCAGTTGTTTATTTACATTTGAAAATATTGCCTGATATTTTGATGCAGAGGAACATTATACAGTCTGAATATCTGTATTGACTATCTATAGGAGTACAGTCCTGTGTATCTAAGGATACAGTATTATCCCATAAGAGCATACTACAGGAGAAACTGGGAAGATTGTAATAATCTTGAAATGCAATGCACATAAAATTTTATGTATTTATTTATTTATTTATTTATGGTTAATGTGCACAGTTGCTTTGTATTGAAGAGGGTTTTAGATTACTTATTAAAAACAACAAAATGCACTTTGGAAGCAGATTTTTCTTTCTAGAAACTAATACTTTTCTATCAACTAAGAAATAAAACAAGTACTACTAATGTGGTTGTCAGTGAGTACCTTTGTTGTTGTGTTTTAAGCAACCCAGTCCCAATCGGAGAGAGGACAGGCCTGTCAGCTTCTATCAACTGGGATCAAACCAACTTCAGCCTAATGTGGCATCCTTGGCAAAAGATGCAGCAAACATTGCTAAGGATAAGCAAAGAGGATTTATGCCAAGTTTATTACAGAATGAAACATATGGAGCAATACTCAGTGGCAGCCCACCTTCCATTCAGCCTACAGTGCCTGTTACAAGTAGTGCACCTCCTCTACCTCCAAGGAATATCAGCAAAGGTACTAACACCAGAAAATGTCATTGTATGTTAGACTGGGATCATAATTTTTTATATATATTATTACATTTGTAGGTTTTCTTTTACAGTTATTTTGCACAGGTAAGCTTTGAAACTGTTTATTGAAGACTTCATTTTATATACTGGAAATAAATCTGCACAACCTCTTCTGAGTTTGATTTTCAGTATACCTGCAAGAAAGTATACAATAGTAGTGTTTGGGAAAACAATGCCCAGATAACCTCAACAGAGTTAAACAGGAGGTTGTCAGTCAATGTATTCAGCAATTAATTTCTTTTTCTATTCCATCTTTTCATACTTCTGTTTCTTAAAGGTGTCATTGTCAGAGTTCAGTTTAAATGTACAATTTCAGTAGCATTCCGCTGACTTGGAAAATAGTTTAAGACCTACAAAAATGGGAAGTGTATGCAGAACATGAGAGGTTTTAACATTGAAGGGTCTTCTTTTATTTCAACAACCTTGAAGCATATATTTATTAAAAGTGGTAAGTGCCGTGATGTGGAGAAATTAATTGTTTTAGAGGACTGGTAACTGGCTGAAAATGTAACTGAATTACTGGTTATACCCAGATCAGCAGAACAATGTAGAATGTGCGTGTCTCATCCTGGTTCAGAAGGGTTGTGTACTTGCAAAATCTACCATTAAAGCTGACGCTGTGACCTTCATTCTTACCTGCATATGTAATCTATTTGGATCAAGAAGCATGTACAAATCTGTGTAGGTCCTCTTTGTACAGTACATGTTCTGTGCATTTCAGTATTTTAATACATTTATTAATCCAGCAGCTTTCATAAATGCTAAATTTATGTAAAGTTCAATTCAAGAAAAGTGAGCATGTAAACACACAATTTTCTATGGTGCTGTAATTCACACTCCATACGAGGAGATAAGAGGAATACTTGAGTGGCTTCTGCCTTTGGGAGCACTTTGCAGAGGTCAGAATGCAAGACTCCGTACACTAGTGGTTGTGTCTGAGATGGCAAACTGAACATCTGTGTAATATGAAAAGTCAGTTGGTCTCACAGGAATGGCTGCAACACAGAAGTTGGGTTAAAGCATGTTCTGTGTTGCAGCAGCAGAACTGAAACGATCGAACAGAGTGGTGCTAGGTTACTTCAAAAGGATAGCATGAGACTGGGGGAAATGTAGCAGCATATAAAACTTAACCAAGGTGGGATTCCTTTCATCTAACATTTTTGCATTAAGCTTAATATCTAGGCACCTTTTTTACTTGATTGAAAGGAAGGTTTCCCCCACCAAATGGAAGAACTTACCCAAGGAGCTTGCGGAGTCTGTGTTTAACTGTTAGTTTCTATCTCTAAAATAGTAATACAATAGGGTAGTTAGAGGTCCTGGTTTACCCTTTGATGATATTTTAATCATGGCCAACCATATTATTTTACCCACTGCTTGCCCTCAATTAAATGACACTTTTCAAAGAGTGTAATTTTAATTTCATTCCCAACCTTAGACTTCTTGGCACCAGTATTGTCCAATTTATGCCAAGAAAGTATGCTGTTCAGCTTAGATTATTAGCTCATATTCTTTATTCTAGCAATGTATTAGCCTATTATTTTATAATTTTAGTTAAGCTACAATATTGCTATTGATCTTAGCTTCTTGATGATTGCTGATGTTGTTGATTTTATGCTTATGGTGTGTTATTACTCTTTTATCCTCTTTGCTTTAGGCTATTCTCCAAGCCTTCTGAGCCTTTTATGCTTTTCCCTGCAACCTAATATTTATTCATACCTTACTTTGTTTCAACTTCTCTTAATATGATGGTCATATGCTGAGTAGGGAGAAGTGGCATGAAATGTGCAAAATACTGGCTTCATGAAGAAACCTGTAGTGTCTTTCTGTGAAATGGGGAGGCATCTCTTCAGCCTAGGAATGGAGTCATTTAGGAGGCCCTGAAGAAGTCATACTTCTTGCAGTACCTGAGAAGATTCCAGCTATCAGTCAGGGGTTAAAGAAGGTAGCAAGAGTTGCCTTCTGTCTTCTTGTTGAGAAATTTCTGCTGTTTCAGGTGTTGACATACTTCACAGTAATGACTGGAGACAAATTTTACTTAGGTAAAGTGTTAGTAAGACTTCACCCAGAAACTTCTGTATAATTTTTTTACACCTAACTTTAATTTCTGCTCTGGCATTCCAGCCAGATGGCAGTGGTTCCTATGGCTGAATATAGTGGTCTGGCTGCACCATTTTTAAAAGCACAGGTGTGAGTATAAACACTTTGTGCTTAGGGTAAGCAATAATAATAATACAGTATTTTCCTCTCTTTTTAGTTCAGCCTTCAGTTCTTGGCAGTGGTATTCAGACAATTTCTTCATCTAATGCAATGTGGAAGACAAATTCTTTAGGAGTGGAAAGTATAAGCAGGCAGAGGTCTTCATCAGATCCACCAGCTATTCATCCCCCTGTGCCGCCATTGCGTGTAACATCTACAAGTATGTTTCCACTTTCCCCTGTTTTCCCTTCTGCTGTATCTAATCATAGTTGGCTTATTTTTCCATTTCCACAACTCATACTTCCTCTTTTGGTGACTGTAGCTTCGGCCTATCATTCCCATCCAGTAACTCTGTACGAAATGTCTTCTCAGATGTTCCAGTGAGGACTGTATGGCGTAGTGCAGTGTCAACAGGAAGTACTGTCTGTTACTAAAGCTAAAGAGCTCTTCACTTTTGTATGTAGTGCAAATGCTGCATTTCTCACCAGTTGTAAAGAGGAGTGTCACATGCAGGCCTGGGGCTATGTCTCCACATTGTGCTTGATTCTTGCAGACAGTAGAAACGCAAAAAAATTGTTCTTATGCATTGCCAGCTGCTGTTGTGGTGGTTTCAAGAATTCAGTAGAAGTTTTAATTAATTGCTAAGCCTAATATGAAATTAATTAGATGGTAATTGTAACAGCGTTTTAAGGAAAGACATTCCTCTAAATAAAATTTTTCAGATACTATTCACTCTCTTACTTTTCCCTAAAACACAAACTGAAGGCATTGATTGATCCAACAATATCGGCACTTTATTAAATATATTTCAAGAATATAATTGTCTTTGACAATAATTTTCTTCACTTGTACCTTAATGTTTGAACAAATTTTAGTACTTGTGAAGTCTCTGACATTGACTAGGTGAAACAAAAGGTAAACCTCTTTCTAAAGAGGTCCTCCTTCCAGTGGACCAATGGAGGGATTGCTTTGAGTTTAAGTTACTGGTTACATAGAGTTAAGAATTTATTTAATTATTTTTTTTTAGTAAGGTTAAATCTTTTAACAGGAAAACCTGTGGTTGGGAACCCAAGAAACAAAATGGTAAATAGAAATTTAATTCCATTTCACTCTAACTTTCTTCTATAGATGTGCTTTCTCCAGCACCACCGCCTCCTGTGGCAAAGACTGCCAGCATTATAGAAGCTTTGAACCAGCAATCTAAACAGCAACCAGCTCCTCCACAAACCAAGCCAACCCCACCACCACTGCCCCCACAACCTCCTAGCAGAATCTCCCAAAGAAAGCCTGTCCCTGGGTAACTGATATAATTTTAGTACTTAATATACTTAATAATTATTAACTTTTCAATTTTATAGTGTATAACATGCAAGTAATTTAAACAGCATCCATACTTTTCCCAATGATGTGTTCAAGAGTAAGGGAATGAACAGAAGGCAGACACTAAGGAAGCAGATTACAAGGATTCCCACAGTAAAAACAAGACAGCCTAGCGATTAAAGATTGTATGACTTGCAGAATATCTACAGAATGCTTAGCCATTAAGGAAATAAGAAGCCACAAAGAATAATCCATTTCTAGGTCTCATCTTATAGCAAAGAAGAGATAGTGGGATTTCATGTCTGATTGTGCCATCTATTGTTCACATGCTTTGAGTAGGTTTGGTTCTATTCAATATTTTCATTCATGGCAGGAGTAGAGAGACCTGGAAAAGAAGATATCTTTTTTAAATTTTCAGGAAACAAAATTAAGAGGGACAAGTGTTCAGGAAAAGAGGATTATATCCAAAGCAGACCCAAGAAACTGGAGTAGTAGTCAAGAGAGAAGAGGATTAGTCATTCAGTACACAACACTTACTGCGTAAGAACAATCAACTTTAAAAATGAAGTGTAGAGAACAGCAGAGTATGGTTAAGCAAAAGTCCTTAAGAGAAGGATCTGCAAGAACATAGTGAATCTTAAATAAAAGTCAGATGACTCATGCTGTCCAAGTAAAGGAGAGAAGCAACTTGCTGAGGCTTACTATAATGGGAAGATTAATATGGATACATAATTTTAACAAAGAATTTTAGAACAGCAATGAAAGAAACTTCAGAACTTAGGAAAACAAATCTGCTCTACACAAGTGGCAGTAATTGAACCTATATTATTCTTCTGCCTTACATTTTAAAATTAGGTACAACTTATGAGTGGTGTAATCAAAAAGATGGAAGCAAAATACTATTTTTAAAAGCAAAATAGTTGTCACCAAAGTACACTGAAGGCATGACAAGAATTTTATAATTTGGAAAATACTCTGTATTGTTGCAGTTCAAGTTCTTGTTTGTTTCTTAAATGGTTAAATTTCTGACTTCCTGCACAGGACTGAGAAACCAGCTGGCTTAACTAACAAAGGGCAGTCCAGAGGACTTGGGTCTCTACAGCAACCTGGTAATTGTGGCTTAGAGATTTATATTATTGTAATTTAATTATTATACTCCTAAGGGAAGGTGAGGTTTCTGTATTTACTGTACACATTTAAATACAGTCAGTACCAGCATTCTTCTTGTTTCTCTTCTTGATTGTGTAGGCCCTGATGCCTTGAGCCCTTCTGCATCAACAGAATTATGGGCCAATTAATGTAAATAATGGGAGAAGTAATAAGAACAAGGATCACAGAATGGCTGAGGTTCAAAGAGACCTCTAGAGCTTATCTGGACCAACCTGCTCAAGCAGAGCTACCCACAGCCAGTTGCCCAAGACCGTGTCCAGATGGCTTTTGAATGGAGACTCCACGGACTCCCTGGGCAACCTGTGCCAGAACGTAGTCAACCTCACAGTAATGAAGTGTTTCCTGGCGTTTAAGCAGCTGAACACCTCCTTTGTTTCAGTTTGTGCCCATTGTCTCTGGCCCTACTTTCCAGCTGGGTGGCTACCAACATATATTGGTGCATGGGCTTGTTTGTCCTCAGGTGTGGGACTTCACACTTCTTTGCTCCAGATTTTTCCTTCGTTTGAAGATTGATCTTGCTAATAAAGACTGAGGGAAAGAAGGCATTCAGTGTCTCAGTCTTTTCCATCTCTTGTGTAACCAGATCCTCCATCTTGTTTAGCAGTGGATCCAAGTTTCCCCAGTTTTTCTTTTGTTAACTATGTATTTACAGAAGCCCTTCTTGTTGTCTTTGACATCCCTTGCCAGATTCCAGTTGGGTTTCAGCTTAACTAACCTTACCTAAACCCCATTCAAACAAAGGAGACATTATTAAAACTTAGTTGGTTTGCTGCCTTGTGTCATAAGCATTTGTGTGTCATAAACAAAGGAACAGATACACATTTGAGAATAGAAAAATGTGTTTCTAGTTTGAAAATCTAAACTTCATATCAAATCAGTTAAATTAGATTGCAAATAGATACTGCTCTTTTTTACTTTAGGACATTGCAATAATGTCACCTTAATGAGATGTCCAAAGTAAAGTTTGTGTGGATTCTGTGGTGGTTGTAGTGGAATTTCTCCTACCTGCTTTCCCCTTCCACTGTATATACTATGTTAATTGGTTCTTACTGTGTTGTTTGTGGGTTTTTTATTTCCCCTCGACACATCCAAGGGGAAATTGCTAATAACTATCTGCCATCCGTGTCAGGAGTCTCCTGTGAAGCATAGAGCATCTTGATAAAGATGGTCTTTACTAGGAAAAAAGGGTTCTAAAAGCACACAGTCTGCAGTGAACAAATGGGAATAATGAGTATGTGGTTCTGCTCTCATCTATTTTATAGGCTTTCCTCTCTTTATCATATCTGCAGTATTGAAGGTCTTAGATTAATGTCATTGGAAAAGAGGCCTTTTAAGTCAGGAAAAGGATGGAAAAATTCTGTTCAGTTATTTAGAAAGACCCATTAAAAGTTAAATACTCATGGGATAAAAAAAATAATTGTATACCTTAAAGAATAATTAATCTGGTTTCTACTTGTATCATCACTCTTGCTTCTTTTTCAAGCATGTCTAAAATTTACTTTTTTATCTATCTTAGCAGCAGGAGAGTCTGTATGTGAGATTCCAGTAACACAAACTGGTTCTACAACAAATACTTTGGCACAAATCCAGCCACCAGCACCAATGCCAAGGAAATCACAAATAGTAAGTACATGATCTGGGTTCTGATTTTATTACATCTTCTGCAGTCTATCAGACATGATGTTGACATAATAGTATATCCTGTTATGGAGAAAGTGTGAGAATAATGAAAAATATAAAGCTTGTGTCCTATGTTAAATATGTGTGTGACTTGTACTAAATATTTATGAAAGCTTCTCTTTTCTTGCATTTCCTATATGATAGTATGTGATTTTAAATTTAAAACAAAACCACACCAGGAGAAACCAAAGAAGTGTGTGTTCTTTGCTTGTGTCCAAATGTGACCAACACAATCCACAGACTGTATGATTTGCCTTATTGAAGTAGGTACGCTTGATAAGTGAGTCACTTGTAGGGCAGCTTGATGAGTGAGTCACTTGCAGATCATATTTAACTTCATTCTTAAAGCTCAGTGAAGTAAGTAATAATGGAGCTTTTATGTTTCTTGTTATAATGGAAGTAGATATAGCTGTTCATGTAGTAGATCAAATTGCTTTGGACAAGACTAGTAAGAGTCAAGCTCAAAGCAAAATAAATTAGTTCTTTGTGCAGTTGTTTCTCTTTGTCATGTGTTCACTGCATGACAAGGGAGAAATCTCTTGGTAATACACAGAAACCACATCTGACTCAAGACATCCCCAGCCAGGAGGTGGGTGAAGAAGAAGGCTGGAAGTGTTGGGCTGGAAGTATTGTATATTCTTTTCCACCCTCCCCCAGCCTTACAGTGATTGTTAGAAAAGTGACACTGGATTTGCATGGTCTCTTGATCTGATTGTGTGGCCTTACTATGCTCTTATATATTCTTACTTACAATCTAGGACTGTGAACGGTAACACACATATTAGTGTCAATACCAGTATTCTTACACTGGTGTAAGTAAAGGGGAATATTTCCAAACTTAAGCTGAGCTTTTTTTGTTATGTGTAGTTTATCTGGGTCTTCAGTCCTTGTTCAGATTTTATATTGTTCTCTTATGTGATAGACAGAAAACATCCAAATGCTTGATCATGACAGTGTTTCACTGCAATAAGCCGATCACAGCAAAGAGAATCTATACTTTTTGAGATGCTCTATGTGACTAGATCTGGGATGTTTCATGGTTTACATTCTGTATAGGAACGTGGTTCAGTAGGTAAATGATACACTGAGAGGTGTGAGACATGTTGTTCCTGCATCTGCAATTGGCTTTTAGTGGGCTGTGATGAAAAGACCTGGCTTCTTCAGTCCTCTGACTCTGTCCTTTCCTCAGTTTTTCCTTAACCACGTCTACTGAAGTGGTAACTCTCCAGGACACACTTCAGTGTGTTTGTGTGCATAGCCTTGCACATTTTTCTTGAGCTTCTTGAGCTCTTAGAACTCCTATTAGCTGATTCTCATCTAATAAAGCTGAAAAGCCACAGAGACATCTGGAGTTCATCTTGCATTAGTTGGGAGTATAAAATCTTCTGTTTTCTTGCCTCTCCTACTGTTGCTTAACCAAGTTACTGTCTGTCTTGAATCAAAATATCTATCATGTTTTAGGCCACAATAAAATTAAATGGTCTAATTAGTGTAAAATGGAGTATCTATCTCTTTTGCTTACATGCAACGAGGGAATTGCTGTATTTACAGCAAGCTGGCTGCATTTAAAGCTGCTGGAGCCTGATCACAGTTTCTGTTGTGTGTTCTGGGGTTCAGATGTGAGCACTGGATACATCCTTTCAACACATCTGTCAGTTCTGAAACATCTCCTTATCTGGGTTTCTGTGTAAATTAAGGTTGTAATGGTTCCCTACATTTTTCTCTCCTTCTTTGTTTTATAGGACAAACTGCTTTACTTACAAGTGAATGGGATATCCTGGTTTGTAGGAACAGTCACAGTGTCTCCACAGTTTATTATTACTTGCACATAATGTGAAGAACAAATCTGACTCTCCAGATGTCTCTAGGGCTTCAGTAGGGTGTATTTTGTGAGACTGACAAAATCAGCTGGTTGCTTTTCTTCTTGTCATGGAATGGAAAAGTAAGGGAAACCTGGCTCAGGGAGTGTGTGCTAGTTAAGGTGCTTTAGCTGAATCAGTATAGCTAAAGAATCTTAGCTGAGATTTAGTCAAGGGCCCCTCAGCTAAAGAGCTTTAGCTAGGTCAGTCTAGCTAAGGAACTTTGGCTAAATCACTCAGTTTAGTCTTATACTCCAGCCTTTTTTTCTGTCTTTACCCTACCTGAGAACCCAGAGGCCAGCCCAGATTTGGGGAGTGATTGCAGAAGTACTGCTTGAGTAAAGAAAAAAGAGGCCTAGTTGTACATACACATGTGGCTTATCTCCTGTGCAGGGTATTTGTCCAAAAGCCTATTTTTCAGATAGAAATTCCTAAGGTATCATTTGTTAGGTTTTGTTTGTTGTGGGTTTTTTTCCCAAAGTATATTTTAGATTTTTTAAACCATACCTGGGAAACTTTTCTGGAAGATTTTAGTCTTCTGGGAATGGGACCTATTCATTGTCTTCTAGAGAACAAGAAATGCCTGTAATTACTGTGCTTTGATGTTAGTATTTATGCCACTGTTGTACTGATGTGAAGCTTTTCCCTCTTCACCTAAAAGGTGATTGTGGTTCAAACTTGACTGAGGTGGAACATCTGTCATAACTGCTATGATGCAGTGCAAGGCTGCCAACTCATGGGGCTGTGCCCCAGAGATTAGAGCCTAAGGGTATTCCTGGTCTGGGCAGGTCAGGTTTTTATATTAAAATGCAAATGGGTGCTTGCAGAAGAGCATAGTGATGAGGCTGCCTCCCTCCTTCCAGATCTACCTTGTTCTGCATGGCACCTGACTGAAACAAAATGGCAGGTGAAGAGGCTGTGGGCAGTAATGTCCACAGCACAGCATTTGCTGGTGAAGAGAAGTAGCCTTATGGAAGATCATTCTTCCCTCACTAGCTTTCTGCTCTGTGGTTAACCTAACTAGAAACTGGGACCTGTCCCTGGGGCATTCAGGATGGTGATGGTGATGAGATCTTGTTTTCCTTATCCCATACAGAGCCTCTGTCCCAAACACCCACTGCATTAACAAGTGTCTCCTGACCTAAATGGCCCTTACAGCTGTGCTCTGGCATCTTAGGGTAGAAAGGAGAGATTTTGCTGGCTATGGCTGGGCAAACTGGGGAAAAGCATGTACTCATGGTAGAAGGCTTATGCTCTGCCTCTGGATCATGTGCTTCTCCACTCCTTGCATGGAAACACTATGTAGGAAGCATTATTGCTGGTCTGCAGCAGAGAATGAGGAGGCTGAAAAGAAATGCAGCAGCAGACCAGGTTGCACCAAGAGAGGAGTGAGAATAGGAAGGTGGATACGGTGATACCAGAGCAAAACCATTTCAGCATCACTTCAAATAGAACACAACTAGGATTTGAATCCCACTGCAATACTGGAATATTGCAACTCCTTACTAAATTTTCCTGTTGAGTTGCCAAACCACCCCTGTGGTTTGCAGTCCTCAAAGCAGTGCAGGGGCAGAGGGGGTGTGGATGTTTTGTATGATGCTGAAACGCATTGAGGGAGTTAAGAAGGGGTGTGTTGTCAGGTGGCTCAGGCCTCTTTCTGATAGTGTTGCTGCTGTTACACTCGCTGTGTAGCACTTGATCACTGTATCTTCTGAAGAAGATCATACTTGCTGCAGTGATGTAGAGCTCTGAAGATGGGATTGGAAGATTGCTAAGGGAAACCTGGCCCTATGTTGCTCGCACAGGGGTTCTGAAAGGCTTTGGGTGCTGCCAAATTCAGCCTGGAGCGTAAGCACCCAGCATAAAAGATGCAGCTGAACTTGAACCTATGAAAAATAGTAGTTGGAAGCAGTTCTGAAGCTTTCTTTAGATCAACTCCAAGTCTGTTCTGCCTCTTCCATACTATATTATTTACATTTACTTATTTCTATATTTCAGTCAAAAACTAAACCCAAGAGAGTAAAAGCAATTTACAACTGTGTAGCAGATAACCCAGATGAGCTAACTTTTTCAGAGGGAGATATTATTGTAGTTGATGGTGAAGAAGATCAGGAGTGGTGGGTGAGTATCTTGCATTTTCTAGCAACACACTTTGAAGGAAATAGATGAAATCTAGAGGTTGACACTGACTTCAGAAGATGCCCCACTGGGTTTCCAAATAACAAGAAAATTTTCATCTCATAGAAACCTGATACCAGAAATTTATTTTGTTAAAAAATCAATAAATGATAAATATTTGGCTTTTCTCATTCAGAAAAAAAAAAAAAAATAATCAAAACCCAAACACCTCGTCATAGGTTGCACAATCTACAGGCTACGTAGTCTGTTTGATTCAGGAAGTTCTGAGGGGATGTCAGCAGTTTAAGAATCTGCTACTATCTCCTCTTCCTTGAAGATGCTGTGTGGTGAGCCTCAGAACACAGCTTTATATTGTCCTAATTCTTCTGCAGACTGAGACTGAGAAATGGTCTATTTGAGCTAGGAAACAATCTCAGCTCTTTACATTCTAGTCTCATCAGTGAAGTGAAATCTTGGAAAATTATGTGCGGAAACACTTGCCTTACCCTGGTTGTTAACTTGTGAAGAAAAGAACTTCAAATTGCATCTAAATTGACAAATGCTGTATAAATACAAATAGATTCATAGAAAACCCGAGAGTGCTGAAGATCAATCCATTCTTTTACCTTCCACGGATTGTTAAGAGGGGGAAGCAGAAGCACCTGAACAGAGGCAGGATATGGACTGCCAGGCACTGCTGAATGCACTGAAGTGGTGTAGCAGTGGCACTGCATAAGGAGGTGGTAGTTTCAAAGAACTGGATAAAAGATAAACGGGGGAGGGGGGGAAGTCTATAGCTGAGTAATAAATGCACCTTGTTGGACTGAATTTTCTGGTAATGTTTCCCATTCACAAAAGAAAAAGACCACAGCTGCAGAAAGACAGGGAGAGGCTTGTTGTATTGCAGGCAGGAAGGTCACTGGTATTAATTTTGGTGTTTTTTGAGATTAACTTGAAAAATATCTGGACTCTTTCAGATTGGACATATTGACGGAGATCCCAGTCGGAAAGGAGCTTTCCCTGTATCATTTGTGCACTTTATTGTTGACTAAATTGCTACTGATAAATGGAGACGTTTCTCATTCCCAGCGGTCACAGGAATAAGTTTTGCTGTATTTAATTTCATCTGCCTATCTACAGACACCTTACCAGAGCACTGCCCAAGTCCTAGGTACTGTAGCTTACTTTTTTATTGCCATGGTTCTGATTTTGGGACTTCTAAAACTTTTTCTATGTGAAAGCTTCTCTTGAGGAGTTTACACTTTAAAAAAAAACAACAACTATTCCTGTATTTTTCGAGGTGAATTGAAAAGCTTTAACAATCAAAATCCATGTGTGTGGACATCACAACATCATGAATGTTCTTTTCAATCAATACACTGTAATTTCATTCTCTTTTTTGTAACATGACAATACCACTGTTCAGTGTTGCTTTCCCAGTGAAAGAAATTGTGTGCATCTAACAGGGCAGTGAATTTATTGAATTCTTGATACCATTTGAAGTGTTGGAACCAAAGTATGCAAGCTAGTGTGTAGTTCTAAATTGGACCCATTCAACATCTTCCCATGCTGGCTGTCATCCAGAATGTCAACAATTACAGAAGAAACTATTTTGATTGGGTGTCTTTGGCCAGGTAAAAGTGAAAAAGTATTTCAGTTTACCACAGGAGAAACTTTTTTCTTTCGGAATGGATGTAGATATTTGCTTACAGTTATCTGAAATCTGTGTTAGTCGTTGGACTTTCTAGGTCTGATTTTGTGGGCTTGAGACTGTTTCATTTTTCTATGCTGCATGTGTGTAGAACCTGTTTTTTGAATGTTCTTTATATATGTTACATCCTTGTTGGTCATTGAATGTGACCACTGCTGGTTAACTAAACTATGGCAATATTAATGAGTTACTACGTTGACTCAAGGATATGAAAATTGCATTTCCTGAAACGTACTTAACTATGATGATGGATTGCAGAGCATTTCTCATACTTGTCTCATTAGTCTTTGGACTTTGTTTTTAAATTCTTGAAATTTCTTAAATTGTCCAGCTATGTGTTCACAGAAGGAACGTATTTGGTGGAACACTTAGATTGTTATCATTGGTCATTAAGGTTATCTGACACCTCACAAGTACACTACATTATGTTTCATAAAATTTTTGTGCCACTACCTTGCAAACAACGATAGTTTGCTAACTCACTCTGTATTTATATAATATACCCACATATATGGTAGCTACACTGTTGTTGAATTTGTTTTACTAATTTGTGAACAAAGGCTAGGCCATGGATGGTTCCCAGTTGGTTGATGGAATACAAAATACCAATACAAATTGGGTGTCATGTCAATGTTTGTATATTGTGAAATTGTACCAGTTTTTGCTTATGCTACAGAAAACAACTGATGGCATAGGATAAGAAAAATCAATGTCTAGGTCACATTGGCTTTGATCACATTTCGTGAATATCGTATCTCTAGATTTATCAAGAGAACTTTGAATTTCTGACAAGTGGTGTTTAAATTGGCCATTTCATATTGAATGGAATGGAAAATTGGCCAGCACCAAGTATGTGCTTATTTGGAGAAGAGTCCCAATGCATTAGTGCTGGAAGAGCAACACTGATCGTACCTCTTGTCGCCTTTCCCAAATGGTACAGCTGGTTGAGAGCCTCCCAGACAGGGGGCACAGCCAAGTATATGCAGAACTTTCATTTTCTAGATCCTGCTGCTGCTGCAGTATAAATGGGGAACAAACTGGAATGTTTCAAGATTATTTTTGTTGTGAGTTGAAGCAAATTAGTCCGTATTTTCAAAGTTCCCAGTAAAATGATAGAGTAATAGTTTAGCACTAGTTTTATTCACTTACTGATACGTTCAGTTTGCAACACTATTTTGTATGTTTCTATCCCTGATAGAGTCTAGAGAGTAAATGGGCATATTATTTTGCACATATCTCCTAATGTACAGTATTTTTAACACAGAATCTTATAGTGTATGTAACAACTCGTGAAGTTAAACAATGATGCAAATTTTCCTTGAGTTCTGCTAGAAGAGGAAGACACTTTAAAATGTCACAACCTTGTTCACTGAGAAACTAGGAAACTTGTAGAATACACCTTAATAGCACTAATAGTGCAGACAGCTAAAACCTTGAGGACCAATAAAGAGCAGCTAAGCAAAATTTAGCCCTAGATTTTCAATGTTTCCCAAAGTTCACTCCTCTGGCAGAGGAAAAAGAAATTCTAGAGCCTGTAGATATCTATTTATAATATAAAATTAAGAATTTTAAGTCCAGCATTTTGGCATATTTCATACAACTTTTCAAATCTGATTAAAATAATGATTCAAAAAATACTGTTAATAGACAGACTATTAGGTTGCTGTGTTAACTGTTTAAAAGGAGCAAGTGACACTTAAAATGCAGCTTAGAATGCTACGAGATGTATAATATTCAATTCAGTTGTTTTTATTTTGTTTAGTTGCAGAGCAACTGTATATATTGTATAACCTAAAATCAACTCTTATTTTCAATGTCCTGGATGCAGTGATTTATAATTAGAGCATGATTAATAAATTTTACTCTTGTTAACCAGTCAAACGTCTGGAAAAATAAAACTACTTTTAAAATCACTTTGGCTACTTCTGTTACTCTGCATTGCCGTGGCAATGGTTTTCTTTTCAATGTGTCAAATCAGAAATGCAAACAAGTAGCACTCTTATGAATGCAGAAACTTTGTAGATAGGTGGCACACCTAAAATTAGAGGTGTAAAGCTCTAAATGTCTGCCTGCTCTCACTTCACTCTTGTTTTGTTCCAGTATCTAGGTTAAGCAGAACTGAGGTCTACACTAACACACAGTTTTTCAGACAAAGCAATAGAAGTAAATCTCAGGTTTATTTTACATTTCTACAATATTGACATTAATATACAAAACATGTTTTAGGAAAAAAAAAAAAAAAAAAAAAAAAAAAAAAAGTCATGTTAAATATAAAATTCTGTATTGTCCTGGAAACTGGAGATGGATTAATTTCTTCAAGTCGTGTTTGGGGAAAGACAAAGTACCAAGTGCAAGGTTGCATGGCTCTTCTTTGCACAGCAAGTCTTCTCTGGGTCTGTGTGTAGCTACAGCCAGTCTGTGGCATCTGTCCCAGAGTAGCCCCATTTCCTCCCAAGACAAAGGCCTCTTGTACTACACAGTCATGTGCTGCCGAAGAAAATCAGGATTTCTCTGACATTAAAACTGAATCAAAGGCTGTGGATAACACTTTGCAAATAGCTTGTGCTTGTTCCTGAAAAAAAAACAAAACACACAAAAACGCACATTTACACTTTGTTAAGAACTGAATGTGTCAAAACTCATTTAAAGGTGAATGTGACCTTTATCAGTCTTGTGGCAGAGACATGCATAGTGGAGTAGCGCAAGTGAGACTTAATTTGATTTCTGTGGTCTGAAATGACATGGGAAGCTGTTCTAAATGAGCCTTTTGAAACAAGTCAGTTGTTAGCTTTCATCATAGCATGACACTAGCATTCAGAAAGTCAGTTCTGCCTTCTCCCAGCACTGCTGTGTGTCAGATCAGGGTATCTGGACAATTAATTCTAAGCTTAAGAAGGGATCACTTCCCTTGCTTATAAATATGAATGCATGCTCTTATTACCAGAATTGTTACTCAATCCCTCCCTGCTCTGCCTAATCTTAAGAGGTTTTTGTCTTTGAAAATACAAACGGAAGATTGTCCTTGGCAGCTACAACAGCTCTCTTTAGATTGCAAAGAGCCTTCTCAGGCTAATTTTCATTGGCAATTTTAGGGAATGTAGGTATTTTTCCTCAAAGCTGATGGAAATGCAGTCAACAGGGCTTTTCTCCCCTCCTCAGCCAGGGCACACTTCCACTTTTTTTTAATTCAGCAAACCCCTTTCTGCCAAAAAGCCTTCAGAAGGGCCTTGGGTTTTAGAATCTCCCTTTACAATCAAAATACCAACAGCTAAATTACTGTAAACATAAACTCTTACCAAACTATTGCACTGATACACCCAGAGGCTGCATTCTTCAGAGGCTGCATCTGTTGTCTTCAAAGCCAGTAAACTTTTTCCTGCTCCCAGACCATCATCATAGCAGACCATCCGTACAATTAAATAGAGAGCATGTCTATGTAACACATCCTGAAACCATGTGGCAAATAAAAGTTACTCTGGAACAGTGCAACAGCTATTTCACTTTTCACCTGGTCTGATTCTCTCTCTTACAAAGAATACTTCAGATTTATTTACAAGGAAAAGTTTTCCTTGGTAAAATTATATAATTTTTTGAGTGTTTAGTCAATATTTTAAAAAAATAAATAAATAGTGGTTTAACACAATCTCCTGCATCAGTTCTGTTAAGTGTGCATGTGAGAAGCTGTTCCCAGAAGAGGTATGGACAAGATTAGTTGCTTGAGGGGACAGGTAGCCATGTGGATATAGCGAGGCCTTGAGGGCGAGGCCTCTACCACAGCTTCCAAGATCACCTTCCTGAAAAGCATCTCCATCCTTGACATTTGCTTGGCAGTCACTCAGAGTTATTCACACCATCAATAAGTATTGTACCATGTTGAAGGCAGCTGGAGCTGACATGAAACTTACTGGATCAACTCTCCAGTCCCTTGTCTGGAAGATGCCAAGTTTTTCATCCAAATTCCTAGCGACTTTTTAGAATTACTTGCTTAGGACTTGCCCCAGTGCCAATGTGCACGTGGTTTATCACTAAAAGAGGGAGGACAGAGTTCTTTAAAGTACACAGTCCCCCTGTAAATTCATTTCCTCACATCTTCCAATATTTGGCTGAGGGAATTCTGCAGTTGAGAAATTAGATGGTGGATGGACAAACTGTGCTATACATGTACATACATATCATGTATAGATACACACAAACAGAATGAGAAGAAGGCCAAAGCCTCAGTGTGCCTTCTATAAACACTTTGCTTTTTGTTTCCAGTGGTTGCATCCACCAACAATGGAAATGTATCAGTGAATTACATATCTGTACATACTTCAGACACTAATAAAATAATTTCTCAAACATTTGTGGAAATTGATAAGGAAAAAATGTGTATCCTGCAACAGTATCACAGAACTCACACCTCTCCCCCAAAGTCCTAAAAGACTGAATTCTTCAGATGAATACAGAGAAAACCTTTCCATCTTGGAACCCTATGAAAAGAGCTAGGTGGGATAACACAGTAAAAGACAAATTAAATGTCAACGGTGACAAAAATGCAAAAAGCCAAATTTGGGAAACAGGATGCAATACAGTAACATGCCAGTGCAAGTTAGCTTAATCACAGGAAGCTTTATCAGCTTGTGCATTCTTTCAGCCTGAACAATGATGGATAAAAGTCTTAAATGTACCTATTTGATCTTTATCAAAGTACAAAGGAATTCAACTTTTTATTATTTAAATAAATAATGTGTATAATAATACACATTAAATGGTGTAACCTATTTTCTTGATGAGAATTAAGAATTTAGGAGGACGGCAAAAACAACCCAAGAGAGTTCAAAGTTTGATTAACAACTACTACAGTTCCTCCCGAGCACTAGAAACAAGTGTTTTATTTTCTGAAGGGACCAAAGGAAACTTTCTGGCTTTCTTCAGAGTACTCAGCTATTGAGCAATACTATTCACTGTCCTCATACTAGAGGCTTTTATCAACTAGCACTGCTGGGTTGCTGATGGGTCATGACTTCATAAGGCCAAGTATTTATGGTAGCTGGGGCTCTGAGGGCAACCAGAAGGAAACCCATGGCTGTAATACAAAGCTACACAAAGGCAACTGTGGAGCCCTGGGGAAGAGACCGGATTTTTATTTTTAGCAAAAAAGCTACTTGAAGCGTGCTGAAGAAAAATAAACGACATAGGAAACGAAGCAAACAAAAAGCAGACTTGATCAATACAGTGGGATCATGAGGCTTTAATGCTGGAGTGAACTCACACCCTTGGATTAGGAGTGCAAGGCTGGAACTTTAAAGAGGTAGACAACTCAGGTATTTTTGAAAAAAACATGCTTTCTTTTTTCCTCTCCACAATAACATGCACAGGAATTGCATCACTAATTCAGGCTGAAGAACCTCTGGTCTTGGCCACCACAGTCACACAGGCATGCTACTCTTCCATGTGACACAATGGCAAGACAGTCACAGAGAAAGGAAGATGGGCCCAAAGAGCATAAAGGCTTGCTTGCATTTTGTGTGGTGCTCTATCTCAAAAGGAACATATTTTTGTCATAAATCCAACCAATCCAACCAGGAAAATACAGGGAGCCCTAAGGATAGGACATGAAGCATTGCTGCTGTGAGAGCCTTTTTGTTTTTTTACTTATGCTTAAACCCAGAAGTGACATCTTGGTTACACAGATCATCTATCAGAGAAATAAATGAAAGCACTTTTCAACTCTCACCAAAAAGACAGTTTGTTGTGAATCACTTACATACTGATCAGACGTTGAAACTTTAATGCCGTATTTGGAAACTCCCATAATGAACTCCTCTTCACCTGGAACAAAAGGTAACTTTCCATCTTGCTTTGGAGGGAAATAAAGAAAAGCCTTTAGCGCAGACATCAGAACATGAACCATGACAATATATAATAGAAAATGTGTTTATGTGTCCACTGGATCAGCAACATCACTAACCCTGCTCGTGCCTTTGCTGTGTGGAGTCTGCCTGCCACTCCTGCACTTGGCCAATGTCTTAATGTTACATGAAATATATTCAGAGGAGGTTTAGACTGGACTTTAGGAAGCATTTCCTCACCAAGCAGGTAGTAAAACACTGGAACAGGCTTCCTGGAGAGGTGGTTGATGCCCCAAGCCTGTCAGTGTTTAAGAGGCATTTGGACAATGCCCTTAATAACTTGCTTTAACTTCTGGTCAGCCCTGAAATAGTTAGGCAGTTGGACTAGATGATGGTTGTAGGTCCCTTCCAATTGAAAGAGTCCTGGTCTATTCTGTTCTGTTCTATTCTATTCTATTCTATTCTATTCTATTCTATTCTATTCTATTCATATTAATTACATTATTCCAGAAAGGAATTTATCATCTCAGGGGGGAGTTTGGCTGTGTGGTTAAATCAAATGGGGTGAAAAATAATGCATGCCCTGTCATGCTGTGCTGGCCTTGGATGATCTACGTTCCACACTGGAAGCTGTTTTGTTATTTGGCTGTAAAAATAGCTTTAGCATATATACAGATACTTGAAATGTCAAGGTGCTGTAAGAAAAACAGACATTGTGTGCTTTTACAGATACAACCATCAGCTACCTGTTGAGAACAACCAGTTACAGCTTTTAGTAAAAATTAAGTGAAAGCAACCACAGTTTGTCAAGAATAACCCACGGATTATTCAGGTTCTTTGGTCACAGGTTTATAGGGAACTGAAACTTGACGTTTTCCTCTGTGGAAAAACTTCTACTGAGGAAACCTGGAGATGTTCTTTCCCAGATACTAATCCTAACAGTGCTGAAGACAATACAACAACTTTCAGTTGGGATACTTGTTCAGTAGTGACTCCAGAAAAGGGCCTTTGCCCTGAGTCTGCTTCTTCAGAAGGGCTGTTTGGGTAGTCTTCTCCAGTTACTCAATAGGATGGAACTGAGTGTGACAGCTTTTGAGATTCACAGCTTAATGTTTTTTTAAAGCAAGCTGCTGTATTCCAGTAAGTTTAAAATTTACAGTGATGTTGGATCACATGACAATATAAAAGAAATACAACTAAGCTTCAGATGTTCTGATGTTGTTGGTGTTGTCTTTTGTAACCTACTTACCTGTGCAACATCTATGTAATTTATCAAGTCCAATGGCCCTTCGAGACTTTTGCTCTCATTATATTTCAGTTTTTCAATGGCACCAACATATTTAACTCTGAATTCTGCACATGTATCAGAATTACTATTGCTTTGTCCTGCAAGAAAATAAAACAAAGCAATTCTGAAGAATTCCAGAAGAGTAATGCTATTCTAATTGGTGTTATTTGGACTAATGTATTAAATTTGAATCACTTTCAAACTTTCATCAAACACTTAACCTTATCACAGTATATTAACTCCTTTCCTTAAGGAATTGTCCTGGGTTGATTCAGAACAGCCCTTGCTAAAGGCAACAGTCTCATGAATCCTTGATATAGCATTGTTTTTAATAATTCAAGTATGGAGTTAACAACCTAGATTCAGAAAACAGAAAAGCTAGATCTACTTTCATACATGTATTTGTTTAAATAATCTGTTTGATGTGCTGTGATCTGCTGAGCAAGACCAAGTAAAATCTTACTTCCATTATTTTAGTGCAATTGTAAACTTATAAAAGCAGGAAACATAGGTTCCAAGAAATTTTATCAGGTACATGCTGTGAAACAGACCGGTAATGCAACTGTGTTTTTCTTACTCAGACACTTTGAAAACAGTGACTTAATCCTAGATGAACCATCAATAATACTTGGTCTGGATGCCTAGAGCTACGCATGCATTAGTCAACAGGCTAACAGAGGCTAATCCTGCTCCACATGTACCTGCTCAAACTCTCAATACATACCTGAACTTTTTGTGGAGTCTGTATCTAGACTAGCCACGGTACTAGATCTGGAAAGTCCCCCAAGACTGGAATCTACAGACTAAGAAAAAAAACCCAGTATCACCAGGGAGTTACCGAGAACATATTAACAATTCACTTTTAGATGCCCTGCCTCAACTTTTTTTTTTTTTTTAATTTTAAAAAAGCTAGTGTTTATGTTCTAATAATTTAATCAGCACTGCAAAATGGGGAGAAAAAAACACCACCATCTATTTCTTTCTTGAGGTTATCTATCTGCCTCAATGCAGGCTAGACTGACATAAATTCAGCAGCAACCCTTGAGAAGTCCACATATATTTTGAAAGGAGGAGGAAATAAAGGAAAAAGAGAAAATGAACCTTAAGGTTATGTCCAGACTTTTCTGGTACGGCATCTTAACTTGAAGAAATTGACAACTACATGCTTGTAAGAACATAGCAGTGCAAGGGAAGTGACATGGCACCTTGGAAAATCCAGAATATTCAACTGATCATTCCAAAACCTATCAGACAAAACGGACACATTATTCAAAATGAAGAATACATTTTAGAGATACTAAGTAACCAACTAGTACTGACGGAAAAGCTCGTTCTTGGTACCTTGTACCAGGCACTTTCTTAAAGACAACATTTATCAGTACAACAGAACAATTGTACTATTTTTTCCTCCAAGCCTTACTATGTGCTGCCAGAAACTCTTGTCTTTGTGGGTTTCACTATGGAAGAAACTGAGCATTCATGGGGGAATACAACAGCTGTGTAATTGATTGGGGTTTTAACTCTCGTAACACAATCTGAGGAATAGTAGAAGTAGAAAATTCTCCTTATGGAACATGGCATTTCATGGAAATGGCACCCTACCATCAGTGCAAGTGAGCCACTGAACTGTCAACTTGTAAGAAACAAAATCCTTCCATAAACAGAGTATGTACCCAACTCAACTTACCTTGCTTTTGGTACTGATCTCACTGCTTTGTGAGCTGCTGCTGCTGTGTCGTTTTTTTCCTTTTCTAAACATTTTTTCATAATTGATTCAAGGAAGATCTTCTAGGTAGGAAAAATAAAAATTAAAGCTATCATTTTCATCAAGGGAAGGAATTATTGGCAAACACCAGAGTGACTCTGTCCAGAGGGGACCAAAACTGAAAACTCAAAAAGAATTCTGAGAAGTAGGAATGTTCCCCTGGTGCTCTTCATGTGTAATGGGAGAAAGTCCTTCAAGCTCTGCTAAATTTCCCTGTCCTTCTGATTCATTAAAAAATGCTGCTACCTTGTTTACAGGCTGTTGCAAAGGCCAGTTTCTGATGCATGTGAAGATAGAGATTTAGAAAGAAGCACTCCCACTGTAAAAGCCTTATTTTTATTACTTGTAACCACAATCTAAGCGTCCTACAAAGTGCATCTAATGCAATTCCTCCTCCAAAGGTTCTATTAAAAAAACCGAACACAACACCAAAACAAGCCCTACTGGAGAACAACTGATCGTAGCCATTACTACTTAACATGATGTTCCTGAAAACCAGAGTGAGATGCATGTTTCATCTGCAGCCTTAGAGCTGAGTTGCTGGGAGTTCTGAGAATATTGCAGAAGCGTTTTCCCTGTATCTGCCCCAGCTACTTCTGTTGCCTCACTCCGCGTTTGGCCGGCCAAGGCGGAGGAGCAGAACGCTGGATCCCGGTCAGGGATACTTCCCAGCTTCGGAGAGGAATATTTTCATTAAAAAAGCGCCAGAAGTTCTGAGCAGGCGGCAGAAAGAGCACAAGGGGGGAGGACAGCCCTCCGAAGGCAGCTCGCCGTGCAGACAGGAAGGGAGGACGCAGCAGGAGGGGCTGCGACCGGCGATGCGGTGCCGGGTCTGTCAGCGGGCGGGCCAGGGGCAGCCCCAGCCCGGGCGGAGCCGCGGTGCCCGGCACCCCAGGGCCCCGGGAGCCCCGTCCGGCCCCGCAGCGCA